GGGTCTGGAAGCTTACGAAATATTATGATGTGTAAACTTGCGCAACTTTTCGCACTATATAATTTCCTGATGTCAGTGTCAGCTGATATCTGATCTGTCTGACATAATACATTTGGATCAATATTTAAAAAAAGAAAAATTTACACGAATTTTTCTTGATTATATTATCTAATATATAGTATAACTTTGTTATAAAAATCAAAGATATTAATCATAATTCAAAAAAGTGCTATAATTAATACTCTAAAATCAGTCTTTAAAATCAGTTTCAAACTGGTTTGACCTAAAGAAACCAAAACCAGTTTAACTAATATTTCCTTTTTAAATAAATTGAAACTGATCTGACATATCAAACCAGTTTAAAATCTTATTACAGAAAATTTTTTCAAACCGGTCTCTAGTTAAACCGGTTTAAAACCAGAGACCGAAAACTGGTCTTGAAACACTAACTATAATACAAAATTTTTATATATTATAATTAATTAAGGTTATAAAAATCTTATAGCCAAAATTTTTTAAAAAATAATTAATAAGGTTAATATCTTTAATAAAAAGATGTTGCTAAAACTTACCTCTTGTGAAAATTCATTCTTATCCGATTAATATTAACCTTATTTAAATATACATAAAAATAACAATTCTGATTAATATTAACCTCACTAAATATATATATAAAATTTGTTTAATTACTGTATTATTAAAATTATGTGTTATTTATTACATTTTTGAAAGAAATATTAAATTAACATATTTTACATTATGATTTGTTTATAAAGAATAAAATTAATTTTTATTGTAAATTTGACAAATTTATATTACATATACGTTTATTGTATATTGCATATTTAGGGTTCCGATCAGCACAGTTCAGTTTCGGTTTGAATCATACTGAAACCAAAACCGAATTTTGGTATCGGTAATCGGTAATTTACCGAATTTTCGATATCAGTAAACTGTATAACCGAAACTGGTCAGTAATTACCAATTACTGATGCCGATTTACCAAAATTTACTATTTATGTTTATTTTATTACAAAAACTATAAAAACTATATATATATACTGTATACTGTATATCACCTTTAATAATAAACCTATGTAAATTTTATTATAAAATCTTAATTCTTTAATACATATTAATATATATAATCTTTTTTAAAAAGATTCTCCTATAAACCTATACTATTAATATAAAATACCTGAACGATAACAATGTTTTAAACACATAATAGCAAGTATTGTTTCTGGAGCAAGACGTGCTCTATCTGATGTTACTACATCTGCAGCACTTGAAAATACTCTTTCTGAAGGTACACTTGTGGCTAAAATATAAAGAAAAATTAATTAAAAATAATACTTAATGATAATAAAATAGAACAGAAAGATATACCTGGGATTCCTAAATAATCCTTTGCCATATTTGCTAGGTTTGAAAACTCTTCTTTGTGTCGCTATTAAATATTAATAAAATTAAAATATAATAATATTCTAATTTTAAATAAACAAATGATAGTATTTAAAATATTTTTTTACCTTCCACCAATTTAATGTATCACTAAGAGCTGGTGCACGATTACCTTTGATAAATGTTTCAAATTCATTTGATTTTTTAACACGTCGTCATTTGAAAATATGAGTGATAAGATCCTCATCAGATGAATCATATTCATTGTTAATGTTGTTAATTTCTATTGGTACATATTTTCCCTTATAAATTTCAAGCACCTATTGAAATAAAAAGTATAATGAAAATAAAATAAAATTTAAAATACAAAAAAAAAAATTAAATTAATACTTTTTTCCTTGCTGATTCAATCCATCGCTTATCCCATTTTTGATCTTTCATGTATTGAATTTTAAGTCGTGGATCTAGAACTATTAAAAATAAAAATATTATAATTTTAAAATTAAATTCATACTTAAATGATTTACAATTAACAACTTACCTAAGGAAATAGTATATATAGATGTATCAGTTTTATCATAGTATTCTAGTAGTTTCCTAATTGCATTGCTTGCTGCTTCCTATATATATAAAAATATAATTAATATAAGAATTTAAAAATCAAATATAATCTAAAGTTTAAACTCACTTTTCCATCTTTGCAACATCCAGGTGAATCCAGAAAATCTTCTAATCTACTTAACAAAATATTATAATATGGTATTACATAAGCTATTGTTGGATAAGTTTCAGCACATATTTGCTTTGTTGCTTTAGAAAAACACTAATTATAAGTTATAAATTATAAATAAATATTATATTAAAAATACCTTCAGTTTTTTAAATTTATAAATTATAATTTACCTTTAATATTAGTTCAATTTCTACAAGGCATTCCAATTCTTTTTCGTTAAGTATAAAAGAACGAAGATTTATATCACTATTACTTAATGTATTTAATGGCTATGGTAATAATTAATAGATTAATTTAATTCTTGTTTTTATTATAATAAATAAAAATTTGAGTACAATAATGAATAATCTTACTTCTTTTAATTCTCTTGCTCTAACCAACATATCAAAAGTAGAATTCCACCGAGTCCTTACATCTAATATGACCATTTTATCAGGAATATCTGCAACTTTACATTGAGCACTGAATTTTTCTCTTTGTTGTGGAGAAGCTCTTATTTTACAAATAAGAGTACGAAGCTATATTTATAATTTATTTAAATATTATTAATTGCTGATCCACGAATGAATCGGACCTAGTGATCGGCAAAATCAAATCTCCACTTCCAAAAAAAGTAAAGTCGGTCAATTTTTAGCCAAACCAATTAAATTTTTTTTTAAAAAAAACTTAGAGATTAAATCTATTTTGTAAAAATATAAATTTAAGTATTTCAAAACTCAAAATTTTGCAAATTGCTTTTAAATATCATCAATTAGCGAAATTTTAGTAAAAATTATTTATCATTTTTTTTTCTAATAAAAGTACTAGCAAGAAGTCTCAAAATTCACACATATATACTTTGGACATATATTAATAGAATATTAAAAAAAAAATGATATAATAAATGTAAAAATATTTCCTATTTTAAGGTTAACTAACAATAATCCATTTTCCCATTTTTAATGCCTATATGAAACTTTTATAAATCAATCTTTAGAAATTTAAAAATGGTAATTTTATCTTAAAATATTAGTTCTAAACATATTTAAAGCATTTATTTTCAAATTATTAAGTGAAAAAAATTTTCAGTTTTATGTCGATAGTTACACAAATTACGATTTGAAGAAATTTAAAGTTTATTGGTGAAAGTTTGACTTTTTTAAGAGTTATTTTTGATACTTTAATAAAATAAAGCAAATGTCAAAGTTTTTTCATTAAAAATTTCAATTTATTCGATTAAAAATTGGTGGATATTCCTATATTGGAAATGCAGATTTAAGGGGTGGTCCAATTGGTACATGGATTACGAATTAAATATTATTAATTAAGTTATCAAATAATATTAAAAAATTATTTACCTTGCATAAAATACTTCCAACCACTTCAACTTGATTATTATTATTTTGAATATTTTCATGTTGGTTCAAAAATTCATCCTCACTTATATTCACAGTTGCTTTAAGTGATTTAAGTGCTTCTTGAGCGGCAAGATTAATGATATGGGCCAAACAACGGACATGTTGGTTAACATTATCAAATTCTATATTTTTTTCTGCAAGTTCATTTGAAACTTCTTCAAGAAAGGTATTATTGTTACTGGCATTATCAGTTGTAATACTAAGTATCTATAAAAAAGTATTTATTTAATTATTCTGTTATAACTTTACAAAATGATTTAAATTAATTATTTATAAAAACTAACCTTAGTCATAATCCCAAAATCTTTAAGACTTTTGAGAAAAAATTCTTTAATATTTTTTCCTGAATGTGACCCTTCAAGTTTAACAAAATCTAACAAAATATTTTTTAATTCCCATTCATCTGAAATCCAATGGGCAGTAATATCTAGAAAAGATATTGAATTTGATGATGTCTAAGCATCAATTATAAAAGATATCTTACCACTTACTTCCTATAAAAATTAATTTTCTATTTTAATTATTTATAAAAATTTATAAAAATAAAAATAAAAACCCATTTATATACCTGCAAAACCTTACGAATTTCTTTTATACCATTATTAAAAGTATTTATAATTTCCTTTTTGATAATATCTGCTGATGGGATTGATGCATCCTTTCGTAAAAGATGAATTAAGTTGTGAAAATCTTTAGATTCAATATTAAGAAAAGAATGATCCTCCATTACTACATAACGTATAAGTAATTTTCAGAAATTATCTTCATTATATAGCTAAATAATTAAATAAATCAAATATTAATTTATTAATTATAAGATTTTGAATTTTAATAATTAGATTTAGTGATTTACCATAATTTCAGCAGAATTCTGTAAGGATTCTTGCAATGTAATTTGTTTTTTATTTTTATTTGAATTATCATTTTCATCTATTAATAATCTATGTTTGGATCTCACATGACTTGACATGTCACTAGTACTACCCTTATTATTAGAAATGAGAGTTTTACAATGATTACACCGAGCTTTCTTTACAGTATTGTCATAAGTAAAATGGTTCCAAACCCAGCTGTGTTTGGAACTACTACTTTTTTCATCTACATCTTTTTCTTCTTCATTATCACTTTCGTTTTGTTGTTCTTCAATATTTCTTTCATTTTCCCTCTCATTACCTAAATCATTAGGCTGTTTAAGATCTAATGCTAAATTTTCACTCATTTTAAAAAGAAATGTTTATTTATTTATTAACAAAGGTAGTAAGAAATGACAACTGAGTAAACTGACAAGTTTATAATCAGAAGAAATAAAAAAATAAAAAAAAAAATTTCGTGATACAGTAAAAAAAGATTATCAGTTGGCCAATCACGAAATAAATAGTTAGATCGGTAAATCGGTTCGAGAAATGATAAAACCGATACCGAAAACCGAAATTACCGAACCGATCGGTAAATTACCGAAGTGTTCGGTCGGTAATTTTTGATGTAATTACCGACCGAAAACCGAAAACCGATCGGTTCGGTTCAGTAATTACCGAAACCGATCGGAACCCTAGTCTTGCCATAAATTCCATCTTTCATAATTTTCCTCGTTCCTAAGACTGAACTAAATCATCTCCACGATTTGACTTTTTCCCTTTCATTGAAATCAGGTATTGACTACCACAATGTTCTCACCCGCAACAATGATAATAACGATGAGAGCGAGAAGATCATTGGTAAATATAATTTTTTCGATGGTGTGTTTTACTGACCTTCACGGTTTTAATCGTTCCGTTTTATTCAATTAGCTGAAGATAACAACAATAATGATGATATTTATAGTGATAATGATGAACAAGCATTGGATTTAACAGAGACTGGCAAATATAACCTTTATGGTAATTGGGATGGACCAGTTAATCCAAACTATTGATATATTAATTTAATGAAATGATGTATTAGTTTATGTTATCATTGTATTAATAAATATTACACGCATAGTACACATATGTATGAGAAATGGTGTCATGCTATACGTTAATTTGTACAATCTCGTGATCCATTGGATTCCTATTTTTTTCTTCATCAATTACACATTTATAGGCGATTCCACAAAACACAGTTTAAAACAGATAGATTGAGAGTTGAGTATTCTATGAGTTAATACTAAAATCATTTGGTAACGAGATTCGGCAAAGAAAAATGAAAATCAGTGCATTCGGAAACTTAAAAATCTAGTTATCTGTTAGTATATTATGAAAAGATGACATGTCATTCATTTTATCAAAGGTTAAAATGAAATTATTGTGTTTATTAAGGGCAATGACAGATATTACCTAATATCAGTTTATTATAAGAGCTTACCCCCCCTTCTCCAGGTAAGATATATTATATATGTAATTTCCTTATATAGTATATATGTAACCTAAGATTTTCAATTACCCCCCCTCCCCTAGAATATTAGGTAATATCTGTCACTGCCCTAACTTCTGCGCTTCACATAATATTTAGATACAAAAAATTATACTATTTTTCATTCAACCTAACTAGGTGAAGGAGTTATTCATAATTGTCTTCCAAAAAAATGTGTTCAAGAGATTTTAAGTCGCTAAGACTACGTTTACAACTTATACCACTATCTAATGACCATCCACATTTAACCTATTCCCAAGAGAAGCAAGAATAACAAAAAAGTAATCGACCATCCTTCACTTCTTTGAAGGTCCATGGACTAATTTTCCACTACGTTCATCTCTTCAAGAAGTGTGATACACTACTCTTCAGGAAACAGATATCAGAAATAGTGATTTTTTGTATGCATTTCATCTATTATTTATTTACAGCAATTGATCTTGTGCATGAATGGTAAAAAATGAAAAAAGATGTGGTTTAAGAATAAGGTGTTCATGGTGGAGCGAATTTCTGCAGGATTTCCTACATAGTAGCAAGGTAGTTCCAGTTTAAGAGGTGAACGAAGATACTGTTTTCATTACAATAATAGTAAGTTTTTAATTGATTCGATTGTTAGTTGGATATGTGTTGTTAAAATAGAAATGTGGCGCAGTAATTTTATGTAGATCAATTTTGTAGATCATTTCGTAGATCCCTTGATTTTTTCGATTTTCTTGATTTTCTTGATTTATTTGATAAATCTGATAAATTTGATAAATTTGATATATTTGATTTATTTATTTTATTAATTTTATTTATTTTATTTGTTATATTTTATTTATTTGATATATTTATTTTATCTTATTTATTTATTTTATTTTATTTATTTTATTTATTTATTACATTTGATTTATTTATTTTATCAAACATTCTTGATTTTTATTTTATTATAAATAGTGATAGGATTTTACCAAGTAGGGGAAGTCAGTTAGTCAGTTAGTCAGTTAGTCAGTTAGTTAGTTAAGAATTGTATTGTAGTTTTCGAGTTATACGAAAAGAGTATTATTCCCAGTAGTATAATTCAAGATAGTTAATTTAGCAACCAAGAGATTATCTATATTTTTTGTCGTATCGAAAATCTTACATTATTTTAATAAAAACCTATTTTCTTTAATTGAACATCCAACGTTATTTCACGTGATTATTTATGATCAACTTAAGACTCTTCTATTAAGTTAAACTCCAGTTAACCTGTTAAAGCGTTAAAGTTTTTCAGTTGGCTTTAATCGTTGACAGGATAACAGTGTGTCCAAGAAATTTTAACAAATCTTCCTGTTTAGTCGCTAATATTAAGAGTTATTTCATTTGTATTTTTATGTATAACATATTTTTCACATTGATTTCTCTATCAAATAAAAAAGAAAATCTTACATGGGCACAGGACACATTTACGGAACATGCTATGCCTAGTCTACAAAAATATCATAGGAAGCTGTACTAATAATTTCAACTCTTTCTAGGAAACAATTACCGCATGTCCAGTATATATTCTTTATTCGTCATGTGAAGAGACAGTGAACAAACCAATCATGTGTTACTATGCCACATATCCATTGATATTCTTCAATCAGAAATACTGCAAAAATCACATGAGATGGGACCCATAGGTATCGATATCATATGACCAAAATATTATTTAGACTGAATGTCTTGCCGCTCAACCACGCTCAATAGTCTTAGGAAATGCCCTATAAACCTAAGTTCCTACCTGAAAGGTACTACGTAAAACCTCCTCTGTTAATGGCGTGATTGAGCGGCAAGACGCTCAGGGCATTACTTTGTAATGTGTTCTTAATTCTGAAGGAAGTAATATATCTTCTACAGTACAAACGCAATACATATCCGTTCCAATTTGACTTTGATGATAACAGAATTTATCCTATTATATGTGAACAGGTATTNAGAACGAAACGAAAGGGAAGGGGAGAAATAAAGGGTAATGGGAAAATGAAAGGGAAGGGGAGAACGAAGGGGAGAACGAAGGGGTAATGGGAAAATGAAAGGGAAGGGGAGAACGAAGAAAAGCAAAAAAAAATTAAGCTTTGCTAAAAAAAGCTTAATTTCTTTTTTTGCTATACCGCAGTCCGCAGCGGTAATCCAGTATCACGTGATACATGTGATATAGAGTACGGCCATTATAGTATTGCCGAAATGATTTTTTTTTTAAATACTAATTTTAATAAATGTATATTATACTTAAATTAAATAGTACAGTGGTTAGATCGTGAGATATGATATTGTAAGTTGAGGTAACCGGTTTGGTTCCTAAGGTGAGTAAAAATAAATAAATAAATATAATTTAATTAAAATATACACATGTAATCATATATATACGTTAATATACAGTGCGTTGAACAACAATGCATAATGTGTTGCACTACAAATTAGAGTTGAACGACACGTATATTAACATTATGCGCTGATATACTCCAATATATGGGTGTTGATTAATATTGTTAATCATGTTGAACAACTAGCTGGTGTTGATCAACGCGTATACTGGTGTGAATCAACGCTTTTCAAACTTGCTGATGCATTTTAAAAAGAAATGTTTATTTATTTATTAACAAAAGTAGTAATAAATGACAACTGAGTAAACTGACAAGTTTATGATCAGATCAATGTAGATTATCTAGAAGAAATAAAAAATGAAAAAAAAAATTTGTGATACAGTAAAAAAAGATTATCAGTTGGCCAATCACGAAATAAATAGTTAGATCAGTAAATTGGTTCGAGAAATGATAAAACTGATACTGAAAACTGAAATTACCGAACTGATCGGTAAATTACCGAAGTGTTCGGTCGGTAATTTTTGATGTAATTACTGACCAAAAACTAAAAACCGATCGGTTCAGTTCGGTAATTACTGAAACCGATCAGAACCCTATGCATATTACTTACATCTTTCACATTTTTTCATCTATTTAAAATTATTCAATCCACTACATTTAGAAAATTTATCAGATAAAGAATAATCAATATTTTAACATACATTTCCTAAAGGTGTACAAAGTTCAGCATTTGTATAGCCAATACATTACTGTTTCAAAGAACTTTTATATCTCTTTTGAAGTGATTTTTTACAAGGTTTTACATAGATTGGATTTGAAATTTTTCTTTGAAACTCATTTATATTTTTCTTATCATTCATTTCACTCAAATTAAATTCTATAGAATGTATGAAATTATTAAATAAATTAATATACTCTGATTTTTGACCTAATTATTTAGAAAGATTATATGCTTTTTTTTATAATTCACAAGTTTTTGCATATTTTTGATGATCAGTTATGTTTTTCTTTAGTTCTGCTGTAAAAATATTTTCTTCACATACAATATCTGGATAAAAATATTTCAAATTAAAATTTGAATGAATTGGTACACTTTGAGAAGTATTAAATAATTGAATTGATGATGAAGCATGTATTGTATTTTCAGATAATTGTACAGCTTAATTATTATATTATCTTAATGGAATTAATAAAATATTAAAAAATGCTGACACACTTTTTGATAAAATGACAACAAATAATTTCTTTATTATTGATCAACATTAAGCATATGCATATATGACTTCCATTTTGTAAAAATATAATGTATTGTATGAACCATGGTTGTGTACAAATTGATGGTTGTACTCACTATACTTTAATAATAAAGGAATTAGGCATATTTTTTATTAAGTCTTTGAGTAATGCTTTTTTGTAATCATATTTGTTTTTAATAGCATCATTTTGAGGTGTATATTAATAATATTCAAATATCTTATTTTAATTTGTATTTTGTGCCAAAGTATGTTAATTTTATGTTACATTCTCTTACCCTAAATAATTCCTTTTTAACGTTAATTCACTATGCCACACTCCCTTATCCTAACTTTAAATAATTCCTTTTTCAACACTAATTTACTACTAATAATACACTTCCTTACCATACTTTTACATATTATTATTATTTTAGTTTAACTTACCAAGGTATCTAAATTTAAATTCAAACTAATTTGAATTGCTTCATATAAAATACTGTTAAAATTTTTTTTTTTTGCAATTATTAGTATATTTGGTATAAGAAATTTTTTTAATATTTGAATAATAGATTCAAAGAATTTTTCATTAATATGTAATATGCTAGTCATAATATTTTAAGTTTTTTGATTTTCAAATTCAGCATACTGTCTTTTCTTTTCCAATCTTATATGAATTTGCTGAATAAGATAAACCAATGAAGCTATATAAAGTCCTTTTAATTTAATGGTATTATTTTTGAATTCACCTCTTTGAGTTATTGCAATACTAGCTGTAAATCAGATTTGTATATAACAATACACTTAAGAAAATTGTATTAAATATGCAAATAAGATTTAGCAGCAGTAATTAGTTATCAACTGTTGCCATCTTCTTTCAAAATCTTTAACATATAAACTATTTCAAGTTTTAATAAACAATTGATGGCAAAAAGTAAAGTTTTTTTTTTAAATGCTTT